CGTCCTTTGGAACAGGTTGTCCGCCAGGACCCTTTCCAAATATCACCTTCAAATCCTTGACCATATCATGTACATCAGCACCAGTACGGTGGCGAGGCTTCGTCCGGTGATCCGCCTCACCTTTGAAATGCTTGCCTTTCTTTCTTACGGGATGCCTGCTAGGAAGAAATCGACGATGTCCCAGGTACACATTCTTCTTACAACTATTCAAATATATACTGTCGGTATCATCCAAATAGTGCCTGCATCCGCGGTATCCCTTGTTTGTCTGTCCTGAAAGGTTACTGAGAGCAGGCCAATCATTGATGGTCACGAACAGCAACACCTTTAGGTCAAATTCTTCCCCCATGTGCTCATCCCACGCACGTACACCTGTTCCATTCCACAGTTGTAAGAGTTCTTCAACTAATGGCCTTAGGTACACATCAATGTCGTTGCCGGGTTGCTTAGGGCCTTGGATGAGCACTGACATCATAATGAACTTCCGCTTCATGCACAACCAAGGAGGAAGGTTATACAAACATAGAGTCACAGGCCAGGTGCTATGGTTGCTGCTCTGCTCCCCAAAAGGATTAATGCCATCTGCGCTTAGACCAAACCATACGCTCCTTGCGTCATCTACAAACTCCTTCCCATACTTTCTTTCGATTTTTCTCCACTGCGACCCGTCAGCTGGTACTCTCAACTCTCCATCTTTCTTACGGTCTTCTCTGTGCCATCGCATCGCCTTGGCATGCTCTTTGTTTTGGAACAAACGTTTCAACCGTGGTATTATAGGAGAATACCACATCACCTTGGCAGGAATATTCTTCCTGGGGCGCTCGCCCTCATCACCATGCTCATCGCGGCTGATCTTATAGCGCAATGCACCACATACCGGGCAAGCGTTCAAATCCTCGTACTCACCGCGGTAGAGGATGCAATCATTAGGGCATGCATGTATCTTCTGCACCTCTAACCCTAGAGGGCAGACAGCCTTCTTTGCTTCGTACGTACTCTCGGGCAATTCGTTGTCCTTTGGAAGCATATCCTTTATCATTACCAGCAACTTTCCAAATCCCTTGTCAGATACACCATTCTCTGCCTTCCATTGCAGCAATTCCAGTGTGGTGCCCAGCTTTTTCTTGTCACCTACACAATTCGGGTACAACAATTTTTTGTGATCCTCTAACATGCGCTGCAACTTCTTCTTCTCCAAATCACTTGCGCAGTTTCTCTTTGCATCGGCAATGGCCCGACCTAGATCATCAACGGGCTCATCTGATGCCTCTTCTTCAGCTTCTTCCCGCATTGCCGGCTCAGCTTCTTCCCGCATTACCGGCTCAGCTTCTTCCCCCATTGTTGTATCATCGTATTCAGGGAACCCATGTCCAGGATAGCTGTCGTCGTCCTCTTCTTCTTCATTGTCTTCCATCATAACCCCTCTTTCTCCGTGCTTGGTCCAAACATTATAGTGGGGCATGAAACCGGACTCAAACAGGTGGACGTGAATGGTTCTTGACGTAGAGTAATTGCGACCATTCTTACAGCCAGCACATGGACAAGGCATAAAACCATCCGCCCGCTTATTTGCCTCAGCCGCAAGCAGAAAAGTATGCATGCCCTCAACGAACTAGGGAGAGCATCGGTCATCGTACATCCATTGCCGACTCATCTTCATTACACAACACCGAATAGACCAAATTAATACAAGTTCATACATAAAGTTCATACAACACTTAAATGCAACAAACAAATAACTCTCTAGCTAAAGCATTTAAATGCAACAACAAATGCGATCAAGATCGCAACTAAGGTAACAATTGATCCAACAGCATAATGATACCAAGCCTCACTATCGATGGCATATTTTCTAATCTTTCTAATCTTCAAGCGCATTTTCTCCATCTTGATCTTGTGATCATCGACGACATCGGCAACATACAACTCCAATTCCATCTTCTCCCCCTCAATTCTTTTCAATTTTTCTTTCAAGTACTCATTTTCTCTTTCAACTAAATTTAACCTCTCGACAATAGGGTCGGTTGGAATTTCCGGTTCACATACCTCCTAGATAAAAATATCTATGTCAACTTGATGGGCATAATTTGTCATAAACACGAAATGCAACAAATAGTTTTGAAAGAGAATATACCACATCCGAATCATAACAAGGACGAGGGCCGACGGGGACGGATATCAAAACCATGGCACTATGTATAACAAACAACGTACGGGTAAGATAATTATTATACGAGTAACTATATATCCAAATCACACAACATCAATTTTTTATATAAAATTTCATGAACAAGAGGCTCACCACAAGGTGGTGCCGGTGATGGGACGGTGCGGGCGATCGACGGTGGTTACGACGGAGATTTAGAAGGCACTAAGTAAACCACACCTACATATGCAAACTAAGCGTTATTTTGACCTCAAATTGCATATAAATCAAATACTACCACATATAATTCCTCCCAAATTATTAAAACCCACAATTAATCACTATATAAACCAATGCAAGAGCTAATCTAGCAATGAGAGATGAAAGGACAAAGTTGCTAACCTTGGTGATCATTTGAATGGATGAGGGCCTGCAAATCTTGACAAATTTGGGGCAAATTTTGTGATGAACTCGAGAGGAAGAAGGGAAGAACAGAGGAGAGGGAGAGGGGAAAGGGGGAAGAACAGAGTGCGGGTGGACGAAGGATTTATATAGGACGACATTTAGTACCGGTTCGTGCCACGAACCGATACTAAAGGTGCTGAAAGGGCCCCATTCTGACAACATCCTGCCACCACTCTCATTAGTACCGGTTCGTGGCACGAACCGGTGCTAAAGGTTTTCCACGAACCGGTACTAAAGAGCTCCTCCCGGCTAGCCGTTGGAATTGGCACTAATGGACACATTAGTGCCGGTTCTGTTACAAACCGGGACTAATGTGTCTCACATTTGACCTTTTTTCTACTAGTGCTAACGGCTATGCGAGCGGCGGAACTCTCTGCTTGATCGGCCGGTTGATTGTAATCTTTTCCCATACAAAATAGGGATGGCGCAAAGGACATGGAATTTCTACTTCCGAGTTCAAATGCAACATTCAAACAAATAGCAAAAAGTTTAAAAGGAAAACTATTTTTTTGGCAATAAACATATTTGAATTTTCTATGTAAGCAAAGTTTCGTGAAGAAAAACGTCCCCAAAGCTCTAGCAGTAAAACAGCAAAATTGGTACTTCAAAAATACTTTTTTTTTAAAGCATTGATTTTTTTCTTCGTCCAGAGCATTAGGAATCTTTTTTCTATAGGTCTCATGTTGACCTCGCCGCCGTCTAGGACCATGCACCGACTCTCACTTCCACAGTGATCGGGCCAGGCATTGCCGCTGTTGAAGATCGCCACGCTGGATCACCAGCGTCGTTGTCGAGCATTGCCTCCGGCACTTGCAACCCGACCACACATCGTCGTCGTCCCGCCGCAACCCACAACTCCTCCATATCGGGCTTCTGATGAGCAGCAGCCTCCCACCGCCGTCGACGCCGTGCGGGCTTTGCTCGCCGGCTAACCTTGACGGTGGCAAGAGGGATAGGATCATGGGGTGGCGGCTAGGGTTAGGTCGCATGTGACTTTCTCGTGAAGGGTTCACCTGAGAAAATGAACTCACCTTTGAGTATTTTTATTAAAAAGAGAATCACACAAAGTTAGAACACATGGACATGTATGTTCCTACGAGAACTCATATTTGTTTAGCTATATTTTTTTACTATTCATCTGGGTTGACTTGAATTTTTTTTATACGTCTCTCTTTCCCGTAAAATTGAAGCCCTTATCGCAGGTTGCCACCTATGCCCCGCTCCCTTCGCCACCTCGCCCCCGAAAACGCCATTGTTCCAAACCGCTGTCTGCTCCTGACTTCTCCACGGCCTCACCTCGCCTGGCAAATTTATTTTTAAACAATGGCGAACATATTGTTTGGACCATGGCAAATTTGTTTTGTACACACCAAGACTATTTTTAAAGCATACATCATCATAATATCTGTTTTGTAAATTATTTTTTCAAAACATGGCAATTTTTTGAACAAAACCTTGTAAATTTCTTTGGTATACCAAGGCCAATTAGTTGAACATTCCATGGCAAATTTATTTTTGTTAGACTTTTTCACAACTTTTCTTTTTTCAATATTTATTTTGCCATCATCTTATACTTAACAATGACAACTTAGGCTCAAACATAATTGTTAACTTTTTTCTTCTATGTGTTTTTAATGTCTGGCCTTTATTAGTTTCATAATTGGTCTGAGTTGATGTTGTATATTTTTTGTACAAGCATGGCATTTTTGTGTGCCTTAGGTATAGTACACTTGATTGTTTGTTTTTCTCAAAACTATGTGACAATGGTAACTTTTTCTGTGGTGTAACTATACATATTTTTGTTTATTTTTTCCATGGACCTTTTACATGGCAAAATTATTTTTTCCATGTACACTTGATTGTGTGTGTGTGTGTGTGTGTGTGTGTGTGTGTGTTCCTTTCAGTTCTTTTTTTTGCGAGTATTCTTTTGTGTGTAATTGGGCTGCAAGGTCTAGTAAAGGGTCCTGTCTAGGCTGGTTATCGTAGGAAACCTAATAGTTTAGTAAATCTCAAGATGATATGCCGGCTCAGTCTTTTAAAGATGTTCATAAGGTAGGATGTGCGTGTGTGCGTTCATAGCGGTGAGTATATGCGCGTATGTATAAACGCTTGCGTTTGTAATGTGCTAAAAAAAATTGTTCGCTCCACAGAAGCCTATAGGGAACAATCGCTGGTTATTCCTCATCGCAGTTTGCCACCTGTGCCAAGCCGCCTCCGCTTCGTTCGCCACTTCGCCCTCGTGGGGCGAACGCCGATTTCTCCTTCCAAACGTACGCTCGCTTTCTTTGAGAAAATGGTTCGGGGTTTGGCTTTGGTGGGGCGAGACGGTGGGTTCCCCGATCTGATTGATTAGTGTTTCGGTTTGGCGGCCGCGGCCGCGCGGGACCGCATGGCCGACCCATCGGCGAGCCCCTCCGGCGACGGCGGGAGCCGCATTAGTTGCGGCAGCCGCACGGCCGACGGCATCGGGGAGGAGCGGAACGTGCTCCTGCCCGTCGCCGATATCAGCCGCTGTTGGATCTCTGCTTGGCTTGAACGACCTTTGTTTTTAGCGGCTGACGCGTCGGTGCTTTGCATGGAGAGCAGCGAGAGCGACAGATGCAAGAGGGCGAGGCGGGAGGCCACGGCCGGCGACGACCTGCTGCCCGAGATGGCGAAGCATGGGTTCCAGGCCCACCCGCACAAGAACAGATCGGTGCGTATACTGGTTTCATAGATATTTGGGTAAATCATACTCCTTCCGTCTGAAAATACTTGTCATCAAAATGGATGAAAAGACATGTATCTAAAACTAAAATATGTCTAGATACATCTCATTTTATCTATTTTGATGACAAGTATTTTCGGACAGAGGGAGTACGTAATTGGGTGGATTCTGAGATGATAAGGGGGGAATGGATTGATTTGCTAACTTGGGCTGATTGGCTTATCATCGATTGCAAAGCTTAAATAACCACTCCTGCGTCGCATAACCTTCGTCTGTCTTTTCAAATTTAATTTAGGGAATAAACTGATATCAAATCAGGAACTGTTGGGATCACCAAATTTAATTTACAATTGTTAAAGCTTTCTCATCGTGCAAATTTAATGTCTTTCAAATTTAATTTACGATTGTTAAAGCTTTCTCATCGTGCAAATTTCAAGCTCTTGCTAAATTTGGGCATACTTGTTATGTCTGTGATGACACCTCATTTCTTAGGAGCCCCCTTGCACAATGGAGGTGGAGCCAAACCCCTTGCCCGTGTCTGATGTCAGGGATTGGTCTGAGCTCCCACTCGATGCGCTTTCTGCAATCTTCATGAAGCTTGGGACCATCGAGATTCTGATGCGCGCGGAACTTGTGTGCCGCTCATGGCGCATAACAGCCAAGTCCCCCGAGTTGTGGCGTTTCGTGGACATGACACGCCACAAGGTGGTTTTCTCAAAGGAAGAAAATGTCATGTGCGAAATGGCAAAGGTGGCTATAGATCGCTCTGATGGACGGATGGAATCGTTCTGGGCTCAGAAGTTTGTCACTAGCGAACTCCTGAATTACATTGCAAGTAGGTATTGATCTTTGCATTCTTGAATTTCAGCACTTGGTCTCTTGCTCTGTATGTGTCAAACTTAGCAGCTTCTTAGCACTGACACACTGTTTGCGGTATTTACCTCCACCTAACAGATAAATAAGTTGGTCGCAAGATGTGAATTTAATTTAGGGAATAAACTGATATCAAATCAGGTCGATGCATTTTTTGCTTTTTCTATATCTATATCTATATCTATACTATACTACTCCCTCCGTCCGAAAATACTTGTCATCAAAATGGACAAAAAAAATATGTATTTAGAACTAAAATACATCTAGATACATTCATTTTTATTCATTTTGATGACAAGTATTTCCGGACGGAGGGAGTATCTATACTTCTATATAGTGTACCAGTTTGAAACTTTTAAACTTCAAGACCAGGAATCAACCCTAGCCGTTGATATAGTCCATCCAATGGTTCAAAATGCTGGGATTCGCATCAACAGTACATGCTACAGTAGCAGCGAAGATACTGCTGCCTTCTAGAACCATCGACATTTTACCCATGCAGAAAAAGTTCAGCTGCTTACTGCTGTTCTCCACTACGTCCGTGTGCGTGCCTCTCATGGCATACGCATCCAATCTGTGAGGGCCGGCAGCGCGCGCGGTAATCGCGTTGACGAGAGGTTCTTAATGGAAAAATGGAAGCGATCTATAGTGCAAGATACTGATCCAGGGAATGACTTGAGAATTAGTCACCGGTGGTTGGACAATTTCATTGGGTGATAAAAGAGTGATTTGGATGGATAAATGGAAGCAAGAGGGTCTCAAGTCTCCACCATGAATATCTTCATTCGTAATGTTTCTTTTGGCTCTATCTATTAGCAAATCTTTGAACCTTTTATTCCTCTTATGAAAATCACTCTTTTATTTATTTATTTGATTTGATTTGACTCACACTCCAAAATCACTCCGTTATATTAAGACGTGCATTGCACGTGCATACATACTAGTACTATATAGTGTATGAGTTTTGAGTTAGAGCTAAAGCATCAATCCTAACTGTTGGTCTCCTAAATCGAACGGCTAAGAGCAGCAAGATTCGCAGTGAACAGTGGACTGAATAGTAGAAGTACAACACAGCTGCATCCACTATGTTCTAGAACAGTCACTTGGCCCTTTCCAAAAACAAAAAGGCCACTACTTGGTGCCTCATGGGCCATGTTGTTGCTTGAGTGCACAACGATTCGAGCCCAAAGGAGATAGTTTAGGAGGGCAGCATGGAGAAAGAGAAAGTAAAAAATAATGTACAACTTCTGACGGTAGAGTTTGTATTACCAAGTCCACCCCCACGAACAACGATTTGAGCCCAAAGGAGATAGTTTAGGAGGGCAGTATGGAGAAAGAGAAAGTAAAAAATAATGTACAACTTCTTACAGTAGAGTTTGTATTACAAATTCCACCCCACCCCCACCCCCCAAAAAGGAGTTTTTATACTAATTCCTACTTTTATAATGGTTAATATCTTCATTCATGCATTACTATTTATTTGCCGTAAATCTCTAACTTTTTCTCATTTACCAAAATCACTTCACGATACTAGCTACGACGTGCAAAGGACACCCCAATTGCTTGAGCTGAGTGGTTTGCAAACTAAAACAAAATTGGCACATCTATACGGTTGTATATGTCTCTAAAATTAGGCGGCAGACATATTTAGGACAGGTCAGTTAGAGCCAAATAAGTTGGCTTGAGATACTGAAACTGGTAGGTCATCTCCAACGCTAATCCTAAAATCGCCCCAAATGTCCGGTCTAGATGGGCCAGACACTTTCAAGCCTCCAGCGCCGCTCAACAAATTAGGCTTCTCTGGACGTCTAAAATCCCTACAGCGGCCACAAATCGGGGGTGTTCTGGGGGTGTCCGGAGGGGGGCGTCCGACAACCCGGACACACCCTAAAACCCCTCTCCTTCTCTAGAACCATCAGTATTGATGCCGCTCTCACCGGCTCGCGGCCTACCCGCATTCACGCCGGCGCGCCACCTGAGAAGCCTTTCTCCCACTCTTAAAACCGAGTTACAGCAGAACATGCAGATCGTGCAGCACCGCTGTACATTTGGGCGTGTTCGTTTGATGAATAGCATTGGAGATGCCCATTGCCCTTATTAGATATTTACGGTACATTGTTATGTGATATTTAGGACAGGTCGTTTATTGCCAAATTAGATATTTACGTTCCAGCAGCACATGGACAGGTCGTTTATTTGATATTTATCATATGGTACATGTGTCCAACCACTTCGCTTTAAAGAGAAAATATACATTTACTGTTTAAACTTGTAATACAGCCTTACCGCACTTGTCTGATTTTGCTCTGTTCATGTGATATCCTGTGTATTTTTATACTTCTCTCTGCAGATGCAACTCATTGAAGAGCATTCGACTCATTGCCTCCCAATACTTTTGGGACGATGCAGTAACTAAGCTTGCGGCTAGATGTCCAATGCTAGAAGAGATAGAATACTCTGGCCAGAAGCTGTCATGGCCATTTTTCAAGCGGATCGGTGCTGCTCGCCCAGAGCTGAAGCGTTTAAGAGTCCGTTTGCCTTGGGTCGACGAGGAGGAAGAGGAGGAGCTTTATGAGGCCTGGGAGGCGAGACAGAACGAGGAGGCCTTCGCCATAGCAGAGAGCTTGCAGGAGTTGCAGCTCCTTCAGATGGCAGGCTACGGCCTGACTGAAAAGGGGGTGTACGCCATTCTTGAAGGCTGCCCCCACCTCGAATTCCTTGACCTTAGAGAATGCGGCAACCTCAAAGTTGACGATGAATTCCGAGCTCGCTGTGCCAATATCAGGCATGCCCGGCTGCCAGGAGTGGTGGGGTCTCCGCCTCACGTTCAGTGCCCAGATCTCCGTACCATCGAGGAGAACGAAGGTGAAGTGATAGAGCAATCTGATCTCTATGCTTGCTCTCCGCACAACGAGGCAGCAATGGACAGCGATGGCCACAGCCAGTGCTATTGTTATTGCTGCGGCGAGTACTATGGCGAATATTACTGCGATTGCTACTTCAAGGATGATCCCAGATACTACTGGGAGCTGTGACAGATGCAACTAGCTAGCTGCGCCATGTTCGGTAGTCCAAGTCACTGCCTTGGGGTTTTAGACCTTGAAGAGTTTGTGTGTATCCCCGTAGGAGGGCTTCTGATGTACAAACAAGCCAGTTGTGGTTTTGAACTATCAACTATCTGCCTATAGTGTGTGTTTTAATAGTTACAACCGTCTAGTAGTATACTAGGTATCATCCGCTAACTGAGATGCGCATGCAAGTGTTAGTTTGCTAGTACTCAGCTGTATTCTCAAGCTATCTCCGCGAACCTTTCCCAAAACTTATTAGTTTTTTTTTTGAAATCAAACTTATTCTTTCTAAAACGTATATCTTGTACTCCCTCCGTGTAATATCAAAAACGCTCTTTTTATGAGACGGAGGGACTAGAATTTACTTTGTATATTTATCTGAACTTACTTTGTATATTTATCTTCCTCAATTATTTGACTAGCGTGAACTTTTCTGCAGTTATTTAAAAATGACAATTCGATCCAAACCCAGGAGACAAAGCTAGTAAGAGAACAAAGCTCAAATTTAGATAGGGGGCCCTTTGATTTCGCAGATGTGTCGCCTCAAATTTAGACAGTGCAACACAACCATCCCAGCAGCAGAGGTAATAAATCTTAACATGAATGCTGCATCATGCAGTTGCACATTTCGTGCCCGGGAGCGACGATCTGGCTAGATAAGTAATGTGCTACCTGGTTAAGGTCAAGGCAAGGGGGCCCACTTCACCACCCGTTTCGCCGAGATAGTGTAGTGGAGCACGACCGTAATGATGGAGGAGAGGTTGCAATCGAGGGCGCCAGAGGCGAGATAGCAGCCGCCGGGCAAATGCCCTGCACTACCCCCACTAGCATGAGGTAAGCCGGAGACCTGCATGCGATCCAAATCCTCTCGCAACCGGGGCTTCCATGGTTTGTTTACCGGCGATTCGAGCAAGGGTTGGCGGCTGGGTGCGATCTGTTTCATCTAATTTCATACGATTTTGTGGGTTGTTTTCCGCAGTATTTGCTCGGGCAGGGGGTGAAATTCATGGCGATGTTGTACACAACGGTTGCGCGCCTGGCGGGGAGGGGTGGATTCATGGAGCGCATACGCATGCAGTGGTTGTCAGTGTCGTCAAAGTGTTTGTGGCGACACACCCCGCATCGTGGTGCTTGGGGTATTCACGGCGTCGTGCCTTGCAGCAGGGATGCTTGTTTTTGCGTTTTTTTCTCACGGCGACATGGTTGCAGCGGTGAGGATCGGGGACGAGCAACAGGAAGGCCCAACAATGATCTTGTGAGGTGACTGCACAGATTTGTCCCCCCTTCACATCCTTTTGAGTTTCTGTTAGGTGTCAGCGATAGTAGCAATAGTTGCAAGCAAATGCTATTGGAGTTGGCTGGTAAGCACTAATTGTTGCACATCCACGGGATTTTTTTGCAGGAAGTTGAGGTCTTTGTGCATGTAGCACTGGAGGAAGTTGCACAAATAGCCATACTAAGTTGCATGCATAGCCACTATAAGTAGGTTAGAACATAGATGGTGTCAGGAGTGTGTGATAGTAGTACTAGTTGCGAGCAAGACGTACCGGGGTTGGCTGGTAAGTAGTAATAGTTGCACATCCTTGGGTGTTTTTATGGTTTTTTTTTGTTTGGGTGAAATGCAACTTGAAGCAGTACAACATAGTATCATTGTTGGTTTGATGACTAGGGGCTTAAGTTGGCTAGGATCAGGGATGATGCTGAAGGTGGTGGGGGCGGCATGTTTTCTCTTTTCTGTTTTAGCTTTTATTTATTGAATGCATCATGTGAATGATGGGATGGGAAGGGCCGAGGGGCCAATGTGTGCGGATTGCAAAAATTGCCTACTACGGCATACATCTTTGTGGCTTTTTTTCTGTTTTGAGTAATTGTAGACGTTTTTTGCAGATAGAGAAGGTAGAAGAAATGGTTGTAGAGGCAGATGCGGGCGGGAGTGAAGGAGCAGCATGCCCCCCCCCCTTCTCTCCAGTTTCCTGTTTATATGTTTCTTTATTAACAATGGTTGTTTCATTTTTGTTTGTTTGTTCCATGCAAGAGACTAAACCCCGTTCTGAACTGCGGACATGAAACATGCCACTGACCAACAGCCACCCACCGATGATAATTGTAGGATCGAGAGGATAACGAAGGGGTGAATGAGAGATTTAAAGTTTCTTTCAAAACTTCAGATCTCTCAGTACAACATAGCGAAAAATAAACCTAATCATGAGCATGATCAACCGACAACTAATAGATTAGACGAAAAACTAGACCGAGTAAAACAATTCAACTAAGTCTTCAACGAAAGATACGATAATCCTATGAGATTAATAGCACAATACTCTGGCAACAAAGATGGTGATAAAAAACGAGGACAAGACAATCAACATCGAAGATAATGCACATGAGAAATAATGTGATCACCACAGAAGCAAAGCATACATGTCACTGAGGAATGTTCATCAAGGACAGACCGAGTTCGATTAGTAAGTAGCACCAAATGAACAACAAGCACACATACAGACAAACTACCTTAGGAACAAAAAATATGAATATGCAACACAACATAGTCATGGTACTGATAACATAACTAGAGATATGGCCAGTTGAATGATTCAGAAGAACAATACTGGAAACAGAACTAAAGAATTACTAAATATAAATTTGGATGAGAAATAATCAGTGATGCTCGATGGCGACAAGTGAATTGTAGACCAGTTCACTCTTCTGCAAAAAGAGCTACATCTGGTTGGAGGGAGTTGTGATTAAAGACAAGAGCAAACCTCTCTCCGTCCTATTCTCCTCTACGTGAAGTTGACCAGAGTTCAGTTGATTTTACTCGTGGTAAATTCTTCTTGGCGATTGATACGTCTCCAACGTATCTATAATTTTTTATTGTTCCATGCTATTATATTACTCGTTTTGGATGTTTATGGGCTTTACTTTACACTTTTATATCATTTTTGGGACTAACCTACTAACCGGAGGCACAGCCCGAATTGCTGTTTTTTTGTGCCTATTTCAGTGTTTCGAAGAAAAGGAATATCAAATGGAGTCCAAACGGAATGAAACCTTCGGGAGCGTGATTTTTGGAACAAACGTGATCCAGAGGACTTGGAGTGGAAGTCAAGAAACAAGCGAGGCGGCCACGAGGGTGGAGGCCCCCCCCTACTGGGCGCGCCCCTACCTCGTGGGCCCCTCGAGCGTCCACCGACCTACTTCTTCCTCCTATATATACCCATGTACCTCGAAAACATCAGAAGGGACCACGAAAAACTATTTCCACCACCGTAACCTTCTGTATCCGCGAGATCCCATCTTGGAGCCTTCATCGGCGCTCCGCCGGAGGGGGAATCGACCATGGAGGGCTTCTACATCAACACCATAGCCTCTCTGATGAGTTGTGAGTAGTTTACCATAGACCTTCGGGTCCATAGTTATTAGCTAGATGGCTTCTTCTCTCTCTTTGAATCTCAATACCATGTTCTCCTCGATCTTCTTGGAGATCTATCCGATGTAACTCTTTTTGCGGTGTGTTTGTCGAGATCTGATGAATTGTGGGTTTATGATCAAGTTTATCTATGAGAAATATTTGAATCTCCTATGAATTCTTTTATCTATGATTAAGTTATCTTTTCAAGTCTCTTCGAATTATCAGTTTGGTTTGGCCTACTAGATTGATCTTTCTTGCAATGGAGAAGTGCTTAGCTTTGGGTTCAATCTTGTGGTGTCCTTTCCCAGTGACAACAGGGGCAGCAAGGCACGTATTTTATTGTTGCCATCGAGGATAAAAAGACGGGGTTTATATCATATTGCATGAGTTTATCCCTCTACATCATGTCATCTTTCTTAATGTGTTACTCTGTTCTTTATGAACTTAATACTCTAGATGCATGCTGGATAGTGGTCGATGTGTGGAGTAATAGTAGTAGATGCAGGCAGGAGTCGGTCTAGTTGTCACGGACGTGATGCCTATATACATGATCATGCCTAGATAATCTCATAATTATTCGCTTTTCTATCAATTGCTCGACAGTAATTTGTTCACCCACCGTAATACTTATGCTATCTTGAGAGAAGCCACTAGTGAAACCTATGGCCTCCGGGTCTATCTCTTATCATATAAGCTTTCAATCTACTTTTATTTGCATCTTTAATTTTCCAATCTATATTATAAAATACCAAAAATATATTTATCTTATCTTATTATCTCTATCAGATCTCACTTTCGCAAGTGGCCTTGAAGGGATTGACCACCCCTTTATTGCGTTGGTTGCGAGTTCTTGTTTGTTTGTGTAGGTGTGTGGGACTTCTGAGGAGCCTCCTACTGGATTGATACCTTGGTTCTCAAAAACTGAGGGAAACACTTACACTACTATTGCTGCATCACCCTTTCCTCTTCGAGGAAAACCAACGCAAGCTAAAGACGTAGCAAGAAGGATTCCTGGCGCCGTTGCCGGGGAGGTCTTCGCTCAAGTCAAGACATACCAAGTATCCATCACAAACTCATCTCCCTCGCACTTACATTATTTGCCATTTGCCTCTCGTTTTCCTCTCCCCCACTTCACCTTTGCCGTTTTATTCACCCTCTCTTTCCCAATCTCCTCTCTCTTTCACTTGCCTTTTTGTTTGCTTGTGTGATTGGATTGCTTGTCGCTATGGCGCAATATAATACCAAGTTGTGTGGCTTTTCCATACCAATAATAATGATTTCCTTAGTACTCCGATTGCTCCTCTTAATGATGTTGAGTCTTGTGAAATCAATGCTGCTTTGCTGAATCTTATTATGAAAGATCAATTCTCCGGCCTTCCTAGTGAAGATGCCGCTACCCATCTAAACAACTTTGTTGACTTGTGTGAGATGCAAAAGAAGAAATATACAGATAATGATATTGTTAAATTGAAGTTATTTCCGGTTTCACTTAGAGATCGTGCTAAAGTTTGGTTTTCGTCTTTGCCTAAGAATAGTATTGATTCATGGAATAAGT